GCAGAAGGCCCAAGGTGGGCCACTGCCTGGCACACTCAAGAACTTACACGGAGCCTGTGGTTCTCGGATGGAAAGATTCCTAAATTAATCCATAAATGAGGTTTGATTCCTAATAAATGAGAAGAGAATGTTTTCCAAAACTTGAAGAAATCTTAAAGTTCATCTAGAAAAATTAACATGAGATAAAAGTCATGAAAGTTTTGAAAAAGAAGGCATTGAAGGTACACTAACTTACTAACTTTTCCAAATATTAAAATGTATTATAGCACTATAATAATTGAAAAAGCTTCCTATGGGCAATGGAACAGATAGTTTAGGAATAAACCTAAACATATAGATATATATATATGGAAATTTTAAAAAGAACATATTTCAAATCCATGGGTAAAAAGCAGCTTATTTAATAAATAAAGTATTAACTGAATTGTTTAAAAACAAAAATAAAGCTGGTTCATTCAGTCACTCCAAAACCAAAACAAATTTCAGAAAGATCTGAGATTTAAATGCAAAAGAAAAATAAAAACCCATTCAAGTACTCTGAGAAACAAACTTAAAAAAAAATAATCTTGGGATTAAGAAAGACCTTTTAAAACATAACCTAAACCCCATAACCTATAAAGGAAAATAATAATAAATTAGACAAAAGTTTTTTAAAAGCCCTTTATCCGGGTCGGGCATGGTGGCTCACACCTGTAATCCTAGCACTTTGGGAGGCCAAGGCAGGTGATTCACCTGAGGTCAGGAGTTCGAGACCAGTCTGGCCAACATGGTAAAACCCCATCTCCACTAAAAATACAAAAATTAGTTGGGCATGGTGGCAGGCGCCTGTAATCCCAGCTACTCAGGAGGCTGAGGCAGGAGAATTGCTTGAACCCAGGAGGTGGAGGTTGCAGTGAGCCAAAATGGGCCATTGCACTCCAGCCTGGGCTACGAGTGAAACTCCATCTCCAAAGAAAAAAAAAGAGAGCCCTTTATGGAGGAAAAAGAACACCTTAAAGCGAAATCAAGTGTCAAGTACTCCTATTGTGTTTCTGCTCAGCTATCTGCCACCACCCAGCATTCATGTCTCTCCACCCCTGAAATAGAGTGCCACACTTACCTGTTGTTTCCCACCTTCATCTTTACTTGCTTAAAATACATCCACAAAGGTATACCAGATAAAATAGAACATTACTAATATTTTTGAAACCCTTTGAGTATTGTGATGGTTAATTTTATGTGCAACTTGACTGGGCTAATGGGTACTCAGGTAGCTGGTTAAACATTATTTCTGGGTGTGTGAGGGTGTTCCTGGAAAGGATTGGGGTTTGTTTTTATTTTTTTGAGATGGAGTCTTGCTCTGTTGCCCATGCTGGAGTGCAGTGGTGCAACCTTGGCTCACTGCAGCCTCTGCCTCCTGGGTTAAGTGATTCCTCTACTTCAGCCTCCCAAGTAGCTGGGACTACAGGCGTGCGCCACCATGCCCGGCTAATTTTTGTATTTTAAGTAGAGACGGAGTTTTGCTATGTTAGCCAGGTTGGTCTCAAACTTCCGACCTCAAGTGATCTGCCTGCCTCAGCCTCCCGAAGTGTTGGGATTACAGGCCTGAGCCACAGCACCCAGCCAAGATTAGCATTTGAATGGACCGACTGAGTAAAGCAAATGGCCCACCCCAATGTGGGTAGGTATTATCCAATCCATAGTGGGCCTGAAGAGAATAAAGAGGGGGAGGAAGGCTGAATTCACTCTCTGTGTGACTACTTGAGCTGGGCCATAGATCTTTCCCTGTTCTCAGTTCTCCTGGTTTTCAGGGGTTGAGACAGCATCTACACTACCACCTCTTCAGCTCTCAGGGCTTCAAACTACTTCCCTGATTTCCATGGGTCTCCAGCTTGCAGATGGTAGACTGTGGGACTTCTCAGTTTTCATAATGGTGTGAGACAATACTTTATAATAAATATCTATCTACCTATTTCCTATTTATTTATCTGGAGGATTCTGAGTAATACAGGTATTCCAACACTCCAGGCTGCAGTCCTTCCATCTCACTCAGAACTAACTGGTCTCATACTTTATGTTTGTCATCCTCTGCTTTTTATTACAGGCTTACCATTCTATTTATGTATGACTAACAATATACTCTTTAGGTTAGCCTGGTTTTTAGTGTTTATAGTAATGACATCATACAGTACATATTCTTCTGTGATTTACATTTTTCCCTCAAAATTACAATGTAGGAGTTATCCAAGTTGATACACACAGGTGTAGTTCATTTGTTTACACAGCTGTATGGTGCTTCACTGTATAAATTTATCATAACTGTCTACCCATTCTAGTATTGACAAACATTGGGTTGTTTCTAGCTTTCTGTTACAAAGAACCATGTAACCATGAAAATTCTTATTTGAGTCTTCTGGTGCACAAGGGTAAGAGTTTCTCTGGGGAATATTCCTAGAAGTGCAATTGCTGGGTAGTAGGATATGGACATGCCCCATTTTTCTAGGTAAGGCCATATTTTCCAAAGAGGTTATATCAAGTTATACTCCAAAATTCTTGCCAAGATCTGATTTTTTTCAGACTTTAAGATTTCTACCAGTCTCATAGGTATAAACATGTATGTCCTTATAATTTTAATTTGCATCTCCTTAATTTCTGCTAAGCTGAGAGTTTTTTATGTCTTTTGTCCAGCTTGCTTTTCATTCCTAGGAAATGCTGCCTCCCCATTCCTGCTTTCGGTCTGGCCCCAAAATTAGATGAAAGAAGCATGCACCTACATTTTTTGATATATGATCTCATCATTTTCCATGTACCTTTCCTTTCAGTTAGCTAATGCCGTTTGCGATGAGCCCTAGTGGCCTAGTTTCCTCTTTTCCATTAGAATCTTCTAACAGTTTAGCTTCTCACAGAGAAGGGACAGAGTACCTGTAACGTGTGCAATGATAAAAAGTAGGATGGGTCAGTTGGGGGATGTGAGAGATGGGAACGGAATGCCCGTTGGTGGTCTGAGACTAGCAGAAAACTAACTAGGAGGATTAAAAATAATAATGACAGTTGCCCTATTTCCAGGACCTCTAGCATGGTAAGAACTATACTAGTTATTTATGAATATTATTTCAAATTCTTACAATAATTCTTTTTTAGTTTTTAAGACAAGGTCTCACTTGGTTACCCAGGCTGGAGTGCTGTGGCGCGATCACAGCTCACCGCAGCCTCGACCTCCCGGGCTCAAGTGATCTGCATAGATGGGATCATAGGTGTGTGCCACCATGCCTGTTTAATCTTTCTTTTTGTTTAGAGACGGGGTCCAACTCTGTTGCCCAGGCTGGTTTTGAAATCCTGGGCTCAAGTAATCCTTCAGCCTCCACCTCCCAAAGTGCTGGAATTTTAGGTATGAGACACAATAATTCTCTGAGTTGTATATTATTATCCCTATTTTGTAGATGAGGAAACTGAGGTTCAGAGGCCACAGAACACTTTGGAGTGTCCAAATCTGAGCAGGTTAGCAGGAAGACCTTTTGTTATTTATTATTATTATTTTTTGTTGTTGTTGTTATTGTTTTTGAGACAGAGTCTTACTCTGTCCCCCAGGCTGGAGTGTAGTGGCATGATCTTGGCTCACTGCAACCTCTGCCTCCTGGGTTAAAGTGATTCTCAATCCTCAGTCTCCCCAGTAGCTGGGATTACAAGTGCCTGCTACCACACCCAGCTAATTTTTGTAATTTTAGTAGAGATGGGGTTTTATCATGTTGGCCAGGCTGGTTTCGAACTCTTGACCTCAAGTGATCTGCCCACTTCAGCCTCCCAAAGTGTTGGGATTACAAGTGTGAGCCATCATGCCTGGCACTAGTCCTTTGCTTATTAATTGAGCACGAAGCACCAATTTTAGGTGGAAAACTGTATTTTGCATTGGGGATGTTTGCCATTTATGGGGTGTTGCCAATCTGTTATGTTGGTCATTGGGAAGGGACTGCCTTCCCATGGAAGGTAGCTAATACTGTGTAGTGAAAAACTGCTTGATTAGTAGTTAGGGTGTCCTACATCTGGCTCAGCTTTTGTCCCTTCATGTGAAGGACCTTGGAAGAAGCCCTCACTCACTGTACAGTAGAAAGGATTAGGGCAAGGCTCCCCCTGGAACTGCCAGGTTGTGCCTTAGTTTCACTACTCGTAAAATAGGGATAATGGTACCTACCTTGATATATTAGTTTCCCTTGGCTGCTGAAACAAATTACTACAAACTTGCTAACTTAAACCAAAATTTATGCTCTCAGAGTTCTGGAGGCCAGAAACCCAAAATCAGTTTCACTGGGCCCAAACCAGCATGCATTACACGGCTGCCCCATAGGCTGGGCGTGAATCTATCCTTGTCTGTTTATTTCAGGGGTACATGTGCAGGATGTGAAGGTTTGTTACATAGGTAAACGTATGCCATGGTGGTTTGCTGCACAGATCATCCAATCACCTAAGTATTAAGCCCAGCATCTATTAGCTATTTTTGATGCTCCCCACTTCTCCACCCCCTCACTCCCAGAGTGTGTTTGTCTCTTTGTTTCTGGTGGCTGCTGGCATCCTTGGGTTGTGGCTGCCACTGTGGCTACGTCGTCTCTCTCTACCTCCCTTTTATGTTTTTATGAGGATACTGTGATTCCATTCAGGGTCCGTCTTTAGAATCCAGGATAATAATCTTCATCTCAAAATCCTTAATCTGCAAAGGCGCTGTTTCTATATAAAGTTACATTTAGAGGTTGCAGGGATTAGGGTCTGATACTACTGGGGGCCGTTATTCAGCCTACTACACTCAGGGTCGTTTTAAGGAGGAAGGCTGAGCACAGCCCACTGACAGCAGAGAGCACTGAGCAAATAGACTAAATAGGAGGTCTCTTACAAAGACTCCCTTATAGGGCTGCCGTAAAGTTCAAAAGAAACACAGGTGTATCACTTATACGAGTACAGGAGAGATTAAAGAATGAAGTAAAAACTGAGGTCTGTTAACAGCCCCTCTCCCGCCGCCAGGAGTTGCACACCTTTCTCTGCAGGAAGCCTTGAACCGTCTCCTCTCGCCTTTCCACCACCTCCAGGCAAGATTTCCCACGTGGAGGCCCCGCCCCCTCCCTGACGCGCCCCTGTCTCCCTCCCTGCCCTTAGCGCGCTGGAATCATCCGGGACTTCAGGGACAGTACGTTACAATGCCTGACAAATCCTAGCCAGTTCTATCAAATTATATGTCTCTTACAGGTTTTTAAGCTATTAGTCCCATAAAGATACATTTAGTCAGCGAGGTAATGGCAAGATGAGTGTTTTTAGGTTAAAATAAGAACTGGAACTGTTGGCAGCAGAATGGCGATATTCAAGACAGCTCGCACAAGAAGAGGCGGGGTCCTACGCGCCTCGCTAGGGAATCCCGGGTCAGCTCGCCGCGCAAGCGCAGTGAGTTCGACTCGCCATGCCGACTGTCAGCGTGAAGCGTGATCTGCTCTTCCAAGCCCTGGGCCGCACCTACAGTGAGTGCTGGCCCTATACATTGGGCCCTACGCCTCTTCTTGGAGCCTGGGCCTCCCTCCTAAAGGGCATTGTGGTGACATTCATGTCTTCCTGAAGGTTTTGGCCCCGGGAGGCCGGGGTTTATACTGGAGGGCCGATGATGGTGGCGGTCCGACTGGGCTGTGGTAGCCTCGGAACCGGCATCGCAGCGGTGCCACTGCTCGTGCCCGGCTCGCCGTGTCATTCATTCAGCGATCTGCCATCGAGTGCCTACAGCGTGCCTGGCACCGACATCCAAGCCAGGGGATAGAACAGGAAGGAAACCCGGGGTTGTATCCCGAGCGTAGCCAGTTCATTGCAATAAGAGCGCTGTGGGAACTCAGTTTATAAGGGGGTAGGAGGAGAGATTTGTGCAGCGGGATGGAGAAAGGCATTCCATCTGTCTTCGTCTTATTAATGTTTCCCGAGCGCCTGTTATGTGTCAGGCACTGTTCGAAGAGCTTAGGACTAGGGCTGTGCACATGACACGTCAGGTCCACGTTCTGTCTGATGGAGGCAGACAATTAACCAGCACATTAATAAAATGATTTCGGATAATGTTAAATGCCGTCAAGGAAAGAAGAGGTGTTGTGCCAAGAACAACTTTAGATAGGGTGGTAACATTTGATCTGAGACCTGGATGAGGAGTATTCAGTGGGCGTAGACTTCATTCTACATTTCATCTTTTATTCAGTTCTAAAAACACAACCATTGCAAAAAGGAGGGAGATATTAAGTGCAGTTATCAGTTACCTCACAGCCGTAGCAGGCGCCCCACCCTTTTTGTTTTTTTTTTTTGAGAAGGAGTTTCGGTCTGTCGCCCAGGCTGGAGTGCAGTGGCACTATCTCGGCTGACTGCAACCTCCGCCACCCGGTTCAAGCAATTCTCTGCCTCAGCTTCCCGAGTAGCTGGGATTACAGGCGCCCGCCATCACGCCCGGCTGATTTTTTTTTTGTATTTTTAGAGAGACCGGGTTTCACCATCTTGGCCAGGCTGGTCTTGAACTCCTGACCTCGTGATCCGCCAGCCGCGGTGTCCCAAAATGCTGAGATTACAGGCGTGAGCCACCGCACGCGGCCCCCACCCCATAATTTTTAGCTTGTATAAAGACTGTACCAACTGGTTTGTGAGAGCTGTTTTTTTGTTTTTAGCGCTCAGTGTGATAACAAAGGCCTAACTGGTTTAATGACAGCCACCGCTTTCCAAAATAAGATATTACTGCTACTGTGAAAATAAAACTGGCTTTTAAAAATCTTTCCTAAGCGTGTACTTTTAGATAGTACCTATTCTCAATGTGATATTCTTCGTAAGTTCTGCCATAAGTCCCTGAAAGTAAAGGAAATACAAGGGTATTGTATTACTCTTACCCTTTGTACTTGTCTCTAATCGCCTAATCGCTTTATTTTATAATGAGCTTATTTATATTTCTTACCTGACCTTCTAAACCATATTCTCACTAATGGGATGTGGTACAGGTTGCTAATTCCTGATCCAAAATGCTTGAGACCAGAAGCGTCTTGGATTTTGGATTTTGGGATATTTGCATGTACATAATGAGATATTTTGGGGGTGGGACCCAAGTCTAAACATGAAATTGATTTATATTTCATATGCACCTTATATGCATAGCCTGAAGTTAATTTTATGGAATACTTTAAATACTTTTTTTTGCATGAAACAAGGTTTTGACTGTGTTTTTGACAAGTCACATGGAGTCAGGTGTGGAATTTTCCACTTGTGGCATCCTGTCTACACTTTAAGGTTTTGGGTTTTGGAGCATGTCAGATTTCAGATTTTTGAATTAGGAATGCTCTATCTGTATACCTGAATTGCCTAAGATGGTAGGTGGCAAATATTTGTTCAAAACATCTACAATCAGTTCCCATCCCAGTCTCCATTTCTAGGGAGGTAAGAAATAATCCAGATTTTTAAAAATGGTGAGATTTATAACCTATTTACTGTCATCTGATGTTTCAACATATTCTGTCCCCTTCCCTTTTTTTTTTTCATATTGTCAGTGATCAATTAAGATTGATTTTTTTCACAAATATGTGTTTGTTAGGTACTGAATCTTTTAAGGGCCAGGTACATGGCTGATGCTTGTAATCACAGCACTTTGGGAGGACGAGGTGGGCAGATTGCTTGAGCTCAGGAGTTGGAGACCAGACTGGGCAACATGGCAAAAACCTGTCTCTACAAAAAGTAGCTGGGTGTGGTGGTGTGTACCTGTAGTCCCAGCTACTCGGGAGCCTGTGGCCGGAGGATCACTTGAACCAAGTAGGTCAAGGCTGTTGTGAGTGGTGATAAAGCCACTGCATTCCAGCCCCCGCCACAAAGTGAGACCCTGTCTCAGAAAAAAAAAAAAAAAAAATCGGTCAAGAGAATTGATGTTATTTTTGAGATGTACTTTCGAGAGGTCAGAAATGATACTCCTCATTAGTTTACCTTTATTGTGTTCTTTCTTGAAACTGTTAACTGGGTTGAGGTCAGAACTGGAAAAGCATGTTCAGCAAAGCATGTGGTTTCCAAGTAGTATGGATACATCTTGTTTCTTACCTTTTTTTTTTTTTCCCCAGTCTTCCTCTTTTTTTCTTGTTTTCACACTTTTAAAATCCACGTTCTCTCTCTTTAGTCCCTCCAAAGGTTGCTTTCTATTTGAAATTTCATTGTTTCTACCAGTCCCCACCTTCCTTTTTACCTCCTCTTTGCTTAGCAAGGATATTTCTCTTTCAAGCTGTTTGCCACTTTGGTTGTTTTGCTCGTCTGACTCCTTTGGAGCAGTTTTGTCTCCTTAGTCTACCTTTTCAATTGACTTTCTGTACAGATGGTTTCCTCTTGCCACTCCTTTTCTTGTTAACTGATTATCATTGCTCTTCAATTATAGTCCTGTTCTGGCGTGATGTAATAGCTGGCAGTAGTGACAGAGCCTTCTGTGTATATCATATACACCCCTAAGGTATGGTTACTTGATGTGTCATTTTGTTAGAGGAAATTACTAATCACGATTTTATTGTTGATTTTTCTTTGTATCAAAACCCATGAAATACAGGGTTTTTTTATGCAGGGTTTTATTATTCCTGAAAGGAATAAAACATACAATAATTAGGATTCAGCATATTTTAATAGTTCTGTACCATTTAGTTATCTATTACTGCTTACTAAATTATGCCAAAGTTTAGCATCTTTTTTTTTTTTTTTTTTTTTTTTTGAGACGGAGTCTCGCTCTGCCGCCCAGGCTGGAGTGCAGTGGCCGGATCTCAGCTCACTGCAAGCTCCGCCTCCTGGGTTTACGCCATTCTCCTGCCTCAGCCTCCCGAGTAGCTGGGACTACAGGCGCCCGCCACCTCGCCCGGCTAGTTTTTTGTATTTTTTAGTAGAGACGGGGTTTCACCGTGTTAGCCAGAACGGTCTCGATCTCCTGACCTCGTGATCCGCCCGTCTCGGCCTCCCAAAGTGCTGGGATTACAGGCTTGAGCCACCGCGCCCGGCCCAAGTTTAGCATCTTAAAGCAGCTCTCATTTGTTACATAGTTTCTGAGGGTCAGGAATTGGGTACTGACTTAGCTGGGTGGTTTTTGCTCTGGATCTGTTACCAGATTACAGTCAAGGTATTTGCCAGATCCGTAGTCATGTCAAGGCCTAACAGTCTGGAGAAACTGCTTTCAGGTTCATTCAAGTGGTTGTTGGCAAACCTCAGTTCCTTGCTGACTTTTGGCCAGGGGCTTTAGTTCCTCCCACCTTATCCTCTCCATAGGACTACTTAGAACATGTTAGCTTGTTTGCCCCAGATGGAGAGGTCCGAGAGAGTGCTCAGGATAGACGCCTGTTTTCAATAACAGCTCAGAAGTGATATACTAGCCCTTCTCATATTCTCTTGGTCACAGACCAATCCTAGCACAATGTGGAAGGGAACTGTGCAAGGGTGTGAATACCAGGAGGCCGGTATTATTGGAGGCCATCTTGGAGGCTGACTACCACCGTTCCCCCTCTAACCTCCACTGATTCAGGTGCCTCCCATATGAAAATATACTCACCCCCTCCCAAAGCCCTCAGAAGTGCCATCCCATTACAGCAGCAGCTCAGAATCTAGAATCTCATCATCTAAATCAGGACCAGATGTGGATGTGGCGGCTTGGGTGTAGTTCCTTCAGTATGGCTTCTTTAGTACACTCTTGGCCTGAGAGATTCGAGAGACCAGTTATCTGCCCCACATACACCTAACACACAGTGGTGGGATGGGCATAGGATAACTCCTGTAGCCCTTCCTCTTCAAAGGGGCGGAAATGGGAGACACAAAGGAGTCATTGGTCCATGGCAATTCTGAAATCAAGTGGCAAATGTTGGATGTTCTTGATTAGGTCTGAAGGCCTGGGATAATTCTCCATGGCTGTCTGCCCTGGCCTCTAGGCTCTTGGTTTCCACCCCTCTGAGTGATCCCTAGAAAGCATGTGCTTCACAGCTGGTTGGTTTTCTCAGTCTACTTACTGCTAATAGAATTTTGAGAGTTCAAAGACTTCATTTTATTCTATTTCTATCCCTTTCAATTCTAGCTGGCAGTGCTTCTGCATATG